AGCTTCTTGAAATTTAAATTTTCAGACTGGTAAAAATATTAACTCTAGAAACAAAATTATAGTACCAGGTTTGTTCCTTATATCACTGATTTATAATGACCTTGGTTTAATGGTTGCTTTTGAAAACCGACTTAATAGTAATTACTAAGGTGCTATCAATTCCTTTTCAAACGTGACTTTCTACTTTTTTCCAAAGTCAGATGGAAGCAAATGGTGACTACATGAAGCAAGCCCTGAGCATTCCCTCCTGTGAGTGGCCGGCCATCCATGATGGCTGTCCTCCCATGCGAGTCCCCGCAGGCCGCTCGCCTGTCAGCTGGGAGCAGTACAGCGACGGCAGAAGCATGTGCCTTCTCTTGGGTGCATTGAAACCTTCATGAAGTGTCCTAAACCCGTATCCAGCCCATATTCTGATCAAACATACAGTGAATGTCTTTAGAAGTATGTTACTGTAAAGACACGTTGCTGTGACTCCCCTTGAATTATTGCCCCTTACTTGTCTTGCAAGCTTCTGAAGCAGTTCTGAGTCCTTCTGCCTGAGTGTCTCTGCAGTGAAGTGAATGCTGCTGCTCAGCACCACCCAGCAGAAAGGCGGGCTTGTAAACATCACGGTGTGCCATTAGCTGCTTCCTTGTGCCTTCTGGCTCTTCCCCGAAGTTAAAGTGACCATAAAAGATGGATGCTTTGAGTCATTAGAGTGTTGAGGCAGCTGTAACAGTGCAGCTAAAGACACTTAGGAAAGAGGACTCTAGAGCTGCTGCAGAGATTTGCAGGTGTGGTGGGATAAGTGTGTTTGACATGGAGGGCTTGGTACTTTGAGCCCACTAATGCAGTGCATCTTTACTTTATCTATCTATGTGTATATATATATGTATATATATACACATATATTTATTTATTTTGGTACTGGGGATTGAACTCTTGACCTTGCACTTGCCAGGCAGGTGCTTGTGCTGCTGAGCTAAATCCCCAGCCCCTACTTTCATATAAATTTTAAAAATGTAAACATGCACTGTATTTTTCAATCATATCTTCATATATATTAACTTTTGATAGCTAGTATTAAAGAAGTAGCTATGCTTTTTAGTATATAAACTTAAACTTGTAAATCAGCTCTTCTTTGGTCAGGGCTTCATTCTAAGTTACTGTGCTGAGGATGCTTATATATGTTATCACATATAACTTGCACCTTATGAAATTGTTCTAATGAATTAACTTTACTGAATTACAATTGTATACACTAAGAGGTACCAATTGTAGATGGATTATTTTAGTTACTTTTTACAAATATGTACAGTCATGTAACTACCACCAAATTAACTATAAAACATTTCTGTTACCAAAATGTTTTCTGGTAACCAAATCAGTTCCTCGCCCTAAGCACCTAAAATCTCCTTTCTGTCAGTAAAGATTAATTTCCTTTTCCCTAGAATATCATATAAAGCTAATCATACCATTGTAGCATTTTCCTATGTGTCTTTTTTCATGTAGTATGATTTTGTAATTTATTCATGCTATTGCATGTATGTCAGTAATTCATTTTTTGTGTGTTGTTGAAGAGCATTCCATTTATTGAATATTGTTTTTCTGTTCATTAGCTGTTCGGTTTTTGAGTTGTTTCTGATTTTTGATTGTTAGCAAAGGTGCGACAACCATTCTAAAAATCAGAAAATTTTGGTGACATTTTATTTTTCCAGTTTTTATCGTGGATCATGCTTTCATGTCTTAGAATATTTATGCTTACTCCAAGAGTGCAAGATTTCCCCTATGTTCTCTTCTAACACTTTTATTGGATTAAGCTTTTGCATTTAGGAGTGCAATCGATTTCAGGTTAATATTTAAGTAGTAGCATAAGAGGTGAGAAGTTTTCCTGATTCAGTGTAGGATAAAGTAAGACTGAGGTTTTTATTGTTTACATATGGATAGTCAGTTGTTTCAGAGACATTTGTTGAAAACACCTCTGTCATAAATCAGTTAGTATGGAGGTTTATTTCTGGACTGTGTTCTTTGCTACTGTTCCATATTCTAAACGTTTACAAATTCCACATTGACTTGATTGCTGTCATTGTATAGTAAGTGTTACAGTCAGACAGTAAATCCTCCAACTGTGTTCTCTTTCAAATTTGGTTGTCCTGTCATCACTGAATTTGTATTTAAATATTTTAATTAGCTTATGAATTTCTCCAAAAAACATCCAGGATTTTCACTGGAATTCCATGAAGTCTTTACATCAGTTTTGGAGGTTTTTTTTTTTTTTTTTTTTGGTACCAGGGATTGAACTCATCATTTCACACTTGCCAGTCAGGCACTTATGCCACTGAGCTAAATCCCCAGTCCCTATTTTGGAATTTTGAATCTGTATCCCATAAACATGATGCAGCCCTCTATCCATATGGGTCTCTGTTATAGACTCTTAGAATGTTCCTGCTTTTTCTTGGCTAGCTTCCTCATGCACATACTTGGATAATTTTCAAACTATTTCATGTTTTTGGAATTAGTTACATGTGCAATTGTTAAATTATCAGTTTCTCATATTTGTTTCTTGAATGTAGAAATAGAAAATAATTAGTATATATTGACCTTCCATGCTACAATCTTGATCATCTTTATAGTCCTTCGTGTGAGTAGCTGGTGTGTGCTAACCTTCCAGTCTGCATTTCTCAGGGCTGACAACGCGGCTCAGACCTGTGCAGCGCTGAGTAGAAGTGATGGAGTCTGTGTCCACTCATTCCAATGGTCTCAGCAACAAAGTGTTCTGTTTCCATTAAGTATGATGTTGCTTGTAGACATTTATTGTCCTTCACAGCGGCTGCAGAGGCTTCATATTATTCCTCGTTAGCTACAAGCTTTTATACATTACTCTTCACTTTTTAAAATGCCTTTTCAGTATCTGCTGAAATGATGGGTTTTTGTCCTTTTTTTTTTTTGTACTGCCAATTACCAAGAAAGGTGTGATATAATTTCCAAATATAATTTATTCATTATAGTTTCTATTTCTCCGTCAATATTCTTTTTCTTCACTTACTGATACCATCCTTTCATGGTGTGAGATATTTGTGATAGCTGTTTGAAGTGGTTTTTTGTTGTTGTTGTTGTTGTTGTTAAGTTCAACTTCCGATCCCATTTGGAGTCAGTTTCTACAGATTGCATTTCCTGAGTCAGCCATCTTTAGTAATTTTGAGTTGAGAACCACAAATTCTAGACAATTGCATTGCACTGACTCTGAATTCCATCATGTTTTCCTGAGGATTTTTATTTGTGTGTTATGCTTCTTTTACTGAAGTAGACAGCAAACTTGTCCATCTCTGTAGCAGGTGTTCTCTCTCCTCAGTTTTTCTGGGTTGCAGATTTCCCTTTAGCCACATGGGAGCTTTGGTCTCACTGTGTAGTTTAGTAGACAGCTGAACATTTAAACTGAACTTGTGTGCAGATTTTGAGGCTTACTTTCTTTCTGGTTCTCAGACTAAGTTCTGTCCTCTGCCCACTCAAATAAAAGGCACTAAAGCTTTCTGTCATGTTCAGTGGTGCACACCTGTAATCCTAGCACTCAAGAGGCTGAGGGAGGAGGATTGCCTAGAATTTGAGGCCAGCCTCAACTACATAGTCAGTTCAGGGCCAGCCTAAACTGCGCAGGCAAACTTTGTCTCAAAAGTAAACAAATAAATTTAAAGCTTTTCCCCTCCTCTCAAAGAAGCAGCCAAAACCCATAGGATGGTTAAGTCTTTTATGCTTACCCTGTGGTGGCTTTTCGGCCTGTTTCTCCCTCCCAGTCTGGGGACTACACCTGAGAGTCCTACACTTGGTTGTCAGGTCTTAGAGTGCACTTGCTCTTAAGGTTCTCCCTGAACCATTAGCTATTGTGACAAACCTGAGCTGTGCATTAGGCCTCCTCAGACTAGGAAGGACCTGATTTAATGCTGCTAGGGAAATGAACACTGTTCTTAGGCCGCAGAGCCACCTACTTGGAATTCTTCCGTGCCGTGGTCCCCGTCCCTGACTTTCAGAAGGATCTCTCTGCGTTTGCTTTCCCTCTTTTCATGGTGGCTTCACACAGTTGACTTTTAAACAGTATTTTGTCCACCTTTTCTCATTTTCCCATAGCTGAGTGGTTTTCTGTAGGGATTCCAGTGTCATTTCATGAGTTCAGACCTCCTTAGGAAGGTTTTCAGTAGTGTCGTTTCACGGAGATTGGTGCTGCTTGGTATAGTGAAGGAATTTATTTGTTCAGTAAATTCATAAAGATGCTCTTGTTTTAGACAGTGGCTACCTATTTTCTTGTCTTTATGTTATGCTCCAGTTATTGAAGGAAAGAAAGCTGATAGGGAAGCACAGATACGCAGTTTATCTGCAATATAAGGAAAACAGATACGAAGCTGTTTTTATTTGGTAATGAAGTTTTAAAAATATGGCACTTTTGCCCAAGAGACCTCCAGAATCATCATTAAATCGTTAAAATTCTGAAAAGAAAAGGGATAAGGAAGAATAAAAAGCAAAGGACTATTTACTGAGAAAAAGTACAAATTTAGAAATTCTGTCAATTTCAAAGTCTTCAATTTAGAGTTAGTATTGGATTTTAAACCCAAAACTAGAATGTGAGAGTAATACTGCTTTCGTAGTTTAATAAAGGCCATCAGGCCAGCTGTGTGAAGCGTGTCAGTCCTGGGAGGTGGAGGAAGTGAAGAGGAGTCTACAGGCTGGGTCGTGGGGGACGGCCCTCCTGACAAAAGGCACCGTGTGCGGGCAGAGGGAGCACCTTGGGTACCTGGCGTTATTGCCACCCAACAGCCCTTGCAGCTTGGCGGCTGTGGGACTGGTGCATGATGGGACAGCGTGTTTGGGATTGGTCTTTCCGGAGCATCTCTCACGGACTGCCCCATCCTGTAGGGAGATGCAGGCGCTGCCTACCTCCATCCTTGTTGTACAGACAGAAAGTATCAAGGGCATACAAGGGTGCTTGGTGTGTGGTAGCGTTCTGACTGTCATCTTTCTCTTGTTCACAGAGGAGGATAAGTACAATGTTTACTCACCACTGCTCTTCAAGAGTTTCCTGGCCGAAGGTGTTGTCAATGGCCACACTTTGTTGGTTGCATCTGCTAAAGAGCACCCTGCTGACACTGTACAGGTATGGAAAGCACCACTCGGCTTTGCATCTGGGACGCATCCTGAAAGCACATTGGTTTTGAATGTGAACAAGTTACATGTGTTTATGTTCAAACCATATCTTAAAACATCAGTTTTACTATGTATGTATATTTTTACTTCAGAAGTATCAAATTTGTTAGAACATAGGGTTCCGCTTTAAATTAGTTTTCTTAATTTTTTTAAACTTAGAATCATTCACATCAGAGATGAAATGTTAATAAGCTACTTAAAGCTGACACTAATTTAAACTACTGGGTCAGGCATTCATAAAAGTCATGTTTAATAGAAAAAAATCCCATGTGGAAGAGGAGCAATACCCTTTTATTCTTTACTTTCGATTGTAACTTTTATCTTTTGACTTAATTAAATTCCATCCTAACTATTATGCTTAAGCAGATTTTCCAAACTCTGAGCATTTTTTCACTGCTCTCCAAGTGTAACATAACTATTACCTTAAGAACCCCTTAAAATAAACTTTATTTTAGTTTTAACCTTGACATTATCAGCTAAAAGTATGAGCAGTAATTACTGTAATGAGTGAGTTAAATAATGGAATAAAAAACACAGCAGATTCTATTAAATAAGCTAATTATAAAAAGGAAGCAAATTATCTTATATTTTTAATATTTTACATTTATATTTAACATAAGCAAGACTACAATATTTTGTACTTTTACTACCAGTGTTCACATTGTTATAGCCAATTTTTCTAATTATGAATTTTTCAGTTTTCTTAGATATGTTTTGGATAAAACCATGCTTAGTGTTATGTTTGGTTTTTGTTTTGCAAGAATACTTTTGCTTTATGTCTCATACTCTGAGTAACTGCTTTGAAGATGATATAATGTATTAACTACTATTATTCTCTTATTTTGTCATGAAATTTTATTTTTCATAAAATAAAAACAGAAACATAAAGAAATGCTATGTTAGTGTAAAAAAAAAATCATTACAGCCAATAGGCCATATTCTGCGTAACTGTGATAGAAAGAGAACTCTGAAAACTTAGGCAAAGAAACACACACAGAGAATGCCTGATCCTTACATTGCCAAGGTACCAAGTGTACAAATCTGAGGGAAGATACAGATACAGAAATTAGAAGTGCTCATTAAAATTATTTTGCTGTGGGGTGAATGGGTTCTCTTCCATATAATAAGCAATAAAGATAAAAAAGGGGCTGGGGATTTAGCTCAGTGGCATAAGCGCCTGCCTTGCAAGCAGGCAGTCATGAGTTCGATCCCCGGTACCGATAAAAAGGAAAAAGACAAAAAAAATATTTAAGCCTAGCACAGATTTCCCCTCTGAGAGGATTGTTCTGACTTGGAGAATTCTTAATTCTGTTGTGGAGGGCCCCTATTTAAGCCACTGTTTGAATAGAGTTCATATTCTAAATAAGAGCTTTTCCACAGATTTTTATTTCAGTACATAGTCTTTCAAGTGGCAAATCAGTAATTCATTTATAAGGAATTTGTACATAATAAATATTCATTTATAGTTAATGTCAATAGATACCGATAAAATTCTACACCCAAGTACAAGAGTCACTATAATTCTGAAGTCAAAACTAGTATTATTGTTTCACAAAGGTCAAACTTTGCTTAGTAAACAATACTGTTATAAAATGCAGAGAAAACCCCACTGTGTAATGGTTGGTCCACTGTTGCATGGCCTGTCTTTCCCTTCTTTTTCAGATGTTCAGTGTTTGAAGCTTTTCTTGATGTTTCATTTCTCCTTTGCTCTTTTCCCTGGCGTCCCCTCCGGGCCAGTGTCTGGGCAGTGCCTGCGCCCTCTTGGAGTGGTGGAGTCAGTCATCCTTGAGGCGGCTGCTCTGGTTCCTTGCCGTGTTACACACCGTACACATTTCATCTCAGACACTTCCACAGCCGTCTCGGGAAAATTTCTCCACACCAGAAGCAGAAAGGCCTGCGTATGCTTTTAAAATTAAAACGTTTTTCTCTTGACTCCTCCATCCATGTAGCTGATGCTAAAACTAGTGTAGACAGACAAAAATGTGTTTTTATCTCTATACTAAAACCAGGTATCTTTCTGAGGTATCTTCACCTTGCACAAAATCACAGGGTACCTTATATGTCTACCAGGCTTTTATAATCCATCCCATTAAATATGCAAGAATTTTAATTCTATAAACATTGAGAGCAATTTTATAGTGTAGAAAAATACAAAAAGAAGAAGATCCTTAAAATAACGTATATTGAAGCTTTAAAAGGAACAAAAATGCAGATTCTTCAAAGTTGTACTGAGTATATGCATGTTGTAAAGTCTGACCAAAGTTCTCCTGTGTGAAACAACTACATTTTTTAAGAAAGTATAAAATATATGGATCAAAAGATTTCCAAACATGAGCAGTATTAGACAGTGAAGAGTGGGGAGGTTTTTTTTAACATCTTTTTATTGTAAAAAGAATAAAACCCAACAATACAAAATAGAATAAAGCCAGTCAAGCCAAGACAGTGAAGGTGGTACAGAACTTCAAAACAGGACAATGGATCATCAACAATGGCTACCATAGGATATATTGTTACCTTCACAGTAGCTGTCTATTCTCTCAGACATAGTCAAATCAAATAAAACAGAATAAACCAATCAAACAGAACACTGAATAAAACAAAACCAAACAGTGAGAATAATATTGGGTTTCAAAAATAAGACAGGAGATCCCCCGTAGTTGCTATATCGTGTACTGTCACCTTCCCAGTAGCTGTCACCCTCCCAGTAGCTGTTCAGACCATGGCCTTAGTGCTGCAAAGTCAGTCAAACGAAACAAGCATTTAGTTGCTTTTGTACCTCAGTGGCTATCAACTGAGTCTGTCCTCTGAACCAGCTGGTTGCTTATGGGGATAGGAAGGTGGGATGGGTCTCCTGATTTTCAGCCTGCACGCTAGTCGCCTCACAGGAAAGGAGACCTGACTTCTTTCTTCCTGGGCCACATCTGGTTTGTGAGGCCTACAGGAAGCTCAAGCTAGCGTCCTGTAGGCTGCGCATGGCCCCCAGCATGGCCTCTGCTGACTCACAGGAAAAGCTAACTGGCTTCTCTTTTCTTGGGCCTCGCTTGTCTGCAGAATTGTGCTTTCAGATAGCAAAAAAATAAATAAATTCCTATAATTTCCCTAGTTGACCACATACAGGACATCTAGTGCATAGTGAAAGGAAGAACATAGGGTGAGACCTACGAGTTTGGGGAGGCCAAGGAAATTTGTCTGGATGAGTATCTCAAAGGGGAAGCTGCAAAAGGTCGGCCTCCATTCCTTACACTTGCATCTGGGTGCAGAGAAGCTACCCAGGGTGAGGGGGAAAAACCACTTGGAAGTGTTGAAAGTCACAATTCCCAGAGCCAGAGTGCAAAACCTCCTTATTTATGGGATGTCAGCGTATTAGGAAGAGTTACACATTGGTGGTGGGCAAAATTATGTCTACTTTATACATCCAGCTCTGGCCCTGCCACGGGAAACTAAGCTCAAAATATTAAAGGCAATAGAAAAATATATGTCATCTGAAAGAATAAAGTATGTAATATCTGTATATTTTCTTAGAACTTAGAGAAATAAGAACATACAATTTATAGTAAGAGTGAAAGTTAATTAGAACAAGAGAAATGACACCAGTGATAGATTTAGTTGAGAAGAACATAAGTTTTTATTATAACTGTATTCTAAATGTTGACTAAACTAGAGGAAAGATTCAGCATGTTAAAGGGAGACATGGAAAATATAAATGCGACAGACTGAAGTTTAGAAGGGAAAGCAGTGGAAAGTGCACCTGAAAGTGTTAAAGTAGTGTAGACACTGATGAAGATAAGTCAGTGAACTTGAAACAACATTCAAATGATGTAAAAAGAAGGGTGTAAAAAAGATTGAAAAGAGAAAAATGACTTTTCCAGTGAGCAGTGGTATGATTTGAAGTGTCCTAACGTGATTGGTGTCCTTGAATATGGAAGGCATGGAACAAAACACAATATTTGGAGAAATAAGGAATGAAATAGTTCCAAAAGATGAATATATGTTCACAATTTGCAGTGTTTAGCAAGTCCCAAGTTAAAAGTCCTGAAGAAAGTGACTTCAAGGAAAATTATCAGGTTGCTTAAAATAAGTACAAGAGAGGAAATCTTGAAATCTCAAGAGGAAGAAAGCACCTCACACAGACAGGACTGCAGAAGGGAGGAACACCAGGCTATATACAGTGCAAGCAGTGCATGTGGCAGCATAATGAGGGGCCTTCAAAGGAATCTCAGAAACACAAAAATCCACCATCAGTCCAAATACTGTACCCAGTGAAAGTATCTTTTAGAGACAAGTTATTTTGCAATAAGGGTTGTTGCTACATGAAAGTAAAATTAAAGAAGAAAAACTGTAGACATTAAAATCTGAAAGAACTTATTACCCCAGACTTACAAGACAGAGCAATACCAAGTGAATATTTGGCTCTAAATAATGGAATTAGGGATCCTACATATGTTTTTGTTTTTTTTTTTTTTTTTTTTTTTTGTCTTTTTCCTTTTTATCGGTACCAGGGATCGAACTCACAACTGCCTGCTTGTAAGGCAGGTGCTTATGCCGCTGAGCTAAATCCCCAGTCCCTTATGTATGGTTTTTGTTTGAAGAGATACAAGACTTTTTTTCTCATTTTGTAAAGATAAGGTGCTTGGTGGCAGGATGGATATAATAATAAGCTAAAAAAGCACAGTTTTGAAGGTAGTAGATATATTTAGTCTTGATTGTATTAATAAATTTCAAGGGTATATGTGTATACCTATGTAAGTTATGTACTTTAAGTACAATTTCTTGTATATCAGATATACCTCAATAAAACTATTCCAAAAAATTCAGATTTTAGAGTTCATACATACGAATTTTTTTTTCTTTTTTCTTTTGTCTTTTTTTTGAGACAGGGTCTCACTATATATTGCAGACTGCTTTTGAACTCACTGTTTTGCCCAGCTGGTGTCAAATTTGCAGTAATCC